CTCTAAATTACCGACATTTATAATTCATTGGAGGATCAACTCTCAACTGCGGTTACCATTGGAGGATTGTTTAAGTTATTATCCCCCAGATTCAATAGAGAGAAGAAAAAAAGTGAAAAGGATCTCTTTAGTTGTGGCTTTAAACAATTGTGTGATTACTTTTGAGATGATTGGTAGTTTCCAGGTATTGTCCCCTTGAAGGTCACTCCTTAACGCCTCTCAAGCCGTAAAGACGCCCACTTGAATACCTGCCAGGCAGTCCATTTTGTTGTGGTTACCTCGCATAATCGATAGTTAGGCCGGGCATACCGACATTCCTCACTATTATGTGGTGTTTTCTTCAAGTTCCCTTTTTTTGTGTTGTTACTCCAAGTTTTCCAGATATGCAAAAATTTTAACCATAGTAACTGCGGCGTCCGCAACACAGCTTAGTGACTTCAATGTAACCGAAAGATAATCGAAATCGGGAAACTATTGAAATGAGCCGGTCGCTATGGGCATATTTTTGCCAATATTAATAGAAAAGTGGGAAAACTTATATCAAAGAAAAGTTTGAGGGCGATTCATATAATGTAACCGTGCACAAATTTCATGTAACTTGTAGTGTTTGTATTGTATGGATTGAATACGATTAGGCGGTAGTGGAAGGGGTAGTTATGTCCTGTATACAAGGTGTCCGAGATGTACGTGCCGATACTGAACCAGCATGTACAGGGGGTGAGTCTGAACCAAAAAGTCCTTTACCACTTTTGGATCGGAAGCACCCCTCCGGAGATACTGGGGTAAACAGGACAGCCAATGACGCTGCCGCGTTAAGCGGCAATACGTCGGTGTGGCTGTCGCGCTCGAGTATGAGTGATTCCCCTTCGAGCCAGAAGGAGGCAGGATCAAGTTCTTTGTTCACCCGTGAGCGTGAGAGAGAAGGCATGGTATTCTCTCTCACTCTCTCGCATCAATCCGCGGCAATGTTTTTGCAGTTATCTTTTAAACAATTGGGTTTTTGGGATTTTTCCATTGATTATTGTTTAAAATGGACAAAAATATTGGTGGCTTTTCACCAGATCGATCGGGAAAACCCGGAAATGATCGTGACCCATCGGTCAACGGTCATCTCCAAACCATCAAGAACACCATCACCCCCCCCCCCCCCCCTCAACGCTCTCTGTTCGTATCAAGCAGTGAACGTGCTAACATCTAATCTAAACCTCACCATAAACTCAACGGAACTCACCGAGTAAAATCACCCAATAAATCAACTATCAATTCAACTAAATCAAATTATATCTCAACGTATTCAGCAATTAATTTAACTTCAAATTGTATCTCAACATAACTCAACGTGTGAATTATTGTAAAAACCGCATTAAATTCACCACGCGTTTCAATAAATTGATAATCGTTGTGTGTGATAATTTCGCGAGTTACTACATTTTTTAGACAGTCACCGCATTTTCCTGACCTTCTTCCGATCCACCTTACTCAACAGTTACGTCAACAAACAATTATTATTTGTTGCAAATTGAATTTGCAACAAAATAATCTCATGGAAAAATCACCTAAGCCCAATGGTTTATTTAATATCAGCAACAAACAGTTTGATCGTTTTTAAATGTTATAAAAAAAACGATGGGCCGTACGGCATTTCTCCATCAGAAATTTTTTGTTGCAAATTCGATTTGCGACAAAAAATAATCAATGGGAAAAATCTCCGAAAGCCCATTGTTTATTAGATAATTGATGAAGAGGGCGTTTTTAACTAAAAATCTAAAACTCACAGCGATCGCTCTGTGCATTATTAAGACAATTGTTTAATTATAAATTATCTCATCAACCACGAGAACTAGCAAAGTTTATAGGAGAATCTCTTTTTTGTTAATGAGATTTAACAAAAAAAAGTTCTCCTTATAAAATTTTGTGAAATTCTCGGTTCAAGAGATAATTAATAATTAATTAATTATCCGATAAATGGCAAGGGGATTGCCCGCGATTTTCCCAAAAATTCCCAGTCGCGAGACTGTTTTTGCAGTTATTTTTTAAACAATTGGGTTTCCGGGATTTTTTCATTGATTATTATTTATTGCAAATCGAATTTGCAACAAAATAATCTCATGGAAAAATTCCATAAGCCCAATGGTTTCTTTAATATCAGCAACAAACAGTTTGATTTTTTTTCAATGTTATAAAAAAAACGATGGGCCATACGAGATTCCTCCTTATGCCACCTAGCTCATCAGGGGTGATCGCTGGAACTGCAGCGTGCAGCAGAGCTATCACTTCCTCCTGAGTCCCTGGATGGTGTTCGTATATCCGGGCCTCCAGTGTCTCTCACAAGAAAAAATCCAGCAGAGAGAGATCTGGAGAACGCGGAGGCCTCGCAAATGGTGGTTGCAGACGTCCACCCCTGTCCCGGTCGCTCCTGTTCCCGATCCAGCGATCTGGGAAACACTTGTCAAGTTGGTCGACCACGGCTACAGACGTATGGGCTAGAGCTCCGTCGTGCTGTAAGCAGACAGCACTGTCGGCAGGACCGTCCCTGACGACAGTTATCAGGCGATCTCGGAGAAATCCCAGATAATTGCCACCCTGAAACATAAACAAATAAAATTCAGATAAAAAAAAAATCCTAATTGTAACCGAATAAAAAATACTTACGTCGAGACGTCCTGGAAGGTGATGAATGTGAACTTCGTCACCATTTATCCCTCCCCAGATATTCATGGTGTCCCAACGAAACTGGAAATTCGTTTCTTTCGTAAGACGGGGATTTTCAAAAGCCCAATGATGCTCATTGTGCTGGTTGATACTTCCCTTTCTTACGAAAAGCTTCTCGTCAGTCCAGCATACGTTGCCCATGAATTCTGGATCGCGACTTCTGTCGAGCAGCCATTGGCAGAAGTTCACTCGGTTCGGCAGGTCTTCTGGCTTTAGCTCTTGCGCCGGGGTAAGTTTCCACGGTTGTAAACCTTCGACCCTCATCACGCGGTGCACCGTCGAAATGGAAGCGTCTATAGATGACGCGATCCCCCGGACTGACAGCTCCGGAGACTCCTCGACTCTCTGGAGAATCGCCTCTTCCAGATGTACCCGATCCACACGTCTTGAACGCCCTTCGCCGTGCCTTGGGAGGATGTTACCCTCCCTCAGCCGTTGAAAAGCGTTTCGGAAACTACGTGGATCGGGAACCACTAGGTTGGAAAATTGCTCCGCATAAATCCGGACAGCTTCCGCACCATTTCCACCCGCTAAACCATAAATGGCCACCATATCCGCGTATTATTAATATTATTTTTTGTCGCAAGTCGAATTTGCAACAAAAAAAATATGATGGAAAAATGCCGTACAGCCCATCGTCTTTTTTATAACATCTAAAAACTATCAAACCGTTTGTTGTTGATATTAAATAAACCATTGGGCTTATGGAATTTTTCCATGAGATTATTTTGTTGCAAATTCAATTTGCAACAAATAATAATTGTTGAAAGTAGACATGAAAAAACGCCCCCCAACTCAATGACAATTAATCGACGAATTGCGGACACTTCCGGGGTTCATCGGATCGTTAACGGAGAGTCAGCAACCACCTTCGGACCCCCCCCAAATTCATTCGTACCGTCAACATCGCCTAAACAGCATCTCAACTTTTCGTGTACATTAACGCCTCTCAGCGTTACGCCGGGAGTGATCTGAACGGACGTGCAACTTCTCTTTGTAATCAATGATTAATTAATAGTCTAAATCAACGTAGCTCAACTCGTTTAAATAACTCAAAGATTACTCAACGACTCTATATATATTTTGTACATAATCTCGACAGGTGAATATTAAAACGCAGTGGTTTATACTTCGGTTTTTGTTCCACTTGATCACCCTTATCCCGACACACCATTTCCAATTTTCCGACGCCCGACCACCCAAAAGCAACGTCCTCAACTAAACAATAATCAATGGAAAAATCCCAAAAACCCAATTGTTTAAAAGATAACTGCAAAAACAGTTTCGCCACAGGGAATTTTTGGGAACATCGCGGGCAATCCCCTTGCCATTTATCGGACAATTAATTAATTATTAATTATAGCATGAACCGAGAATTTGACAAAATTTTATCAGGAGAATTTTTTTTTGTTAAATCTCATTAACAAAAAAAAAGATTCTCTGATAAATTTTGCTAGTTCTCATGGTTGATGAGATAATTAATAATTAAACAATTGTCTCAAAAATGGACAGAGCGATCGCTGTGATTTTTAGATTTTTAGTTAAAAACGCCCTCTGCATCAATTATCTAATAAACAATGGGCTTCCGGAGATTTTTCCATTGATTATTTTTTGTCGCAAATCGAACTTGCAACAAAAAATATCTGATGGAAAAATGCCGTACGGCCCATCGTTTTTTTGACAACACTAGGAAGGTCGCGCGCTTCGCGCGCGTTATCTGAGTTGCATGGGATTTTTATTAAACCTGTATTAATGACATTTCAAACCTATTTATTACTAATTCTGTTTTTTCTCCATCTCAAAAGCACTCAAACTATCAATATAATTTGATAATCAATAATTTCATCACTGATTGCATTTTTTTCCACATGTGTCCTTAATCAGATCAGTAATATATTACAATCGCCTAATTTCCTTCGTTTCCTCTTTTTTTCTATTTTCACCCTAAAAGAAAATCAAATTCTTCGGTTCATATAACAATTCAATTGTAATTATAGAAAAACATTATATTATTATTATGAAATAATATTATTCTAAATAACTTAATTATGGTTACTAAATGATTTTTTTCCACATTAAAATCAGATCGATAAGACATTTTCTCATAAAAATTCTTCTCTCTTCGATTTAGTGGTAAATTCATAACAAACTGGTCTTCACAGTATAATTGACTCCATTTACATTATTCCTGCTTTCTATATGCCCCATTTTCGATTCATAACGAAAAACAAAAAAATTCCTCGATTCTCATTTGTGATATCTGGCATATATCAACATATAGACGAGAACTGACAGATCCTACTTTTTCTTCATCATTTTATTTTATTGATAACATATATTATCCCGTCGGAGTATCACCATTTCAATTATGTCGGAATTTTCAACTGCTTGATCATCTCAAGCATCCTACAATCAAGCTGTTACTGTCAATTCATCAGAGCTTTCTCAGATCGAACCTGATATCCCTGATCCCAACCTCTTTACTGACTATGATTTGCTGACTTCATCTGAGTATTTACAGGAAATTTACCCATTCACAACCAAACTTGTGTAAGTAGTATTCGAGCTTACAATAGAATAAAATCATTTCTAGCCTCAAAATATTTCAAGAAGTATTTTAGAACAATTTTTCGTCGAAACTCATATTTACGTATATTTCTTTTTATATCTTCTCTTAACTGTGAAAATTTAATTGTCATTTTCCTTTTGTTTATTATTTTTCCAATTTTCTAGTGAGATCGTTGTTATCGTCCATCTCGTCAAAGGTGTGGAGACAGTCAAATGTAAAAATGGAACTGTGAATACCGTATGCACTTTTTATGTTCACAATAACGATGGGAAAAGTGTCCAATGTGTAATGTGGGGTGATACGATTGAGAAGTTTATCGATAAACTTGTAGTACAACACGTGAGTCAAGTTTCCTATCACTATATCATTTATTTCTTTCTCGTTTTCTTCCCTTATTTATTTTTCGGCTTTTCGACGTTAATCATTGTCATTGGGATAGTTCCACATCAACTTGGTAATCGGAAAGAGTCGATATCTCCGATTTGATTCGTGATTTCTCATCACATCTTTCACGATTTAACAAAGCCTCCGTAAAAATTTCAGGTGAAAAAAAAATTTCGATTCAGTTATGATTTCTTAGACATTTTGTATTGTTCTCATAGTTTTTTGTTTCCTCATTTCATTAAAATAGGTTTTGGCTTTGAAGGTATGGGAATTTCGTTATTGATAATCGATAATATTATGAAAAATCTTTAGAATGAGCACAAAAATAGTGTTTTGCTGCAAGTGTTTTGAAAGCGTAATCATGGAAACAATTTTTTTTTCGAAAAACACGAATTTCTCAAAAAGTTCATTTTCAAAAATCTGAAAATTCACGAGCGAATTTGTATCATAAAGATCTATATTTTTAAGAAGTTTCTTTCATTTTTTGCGATATTTTTTTTTATATGGAAATTGAGGTTCTAAAAATTTTTCACACACTATTTAAACATTTATGAACTAATTGGAGCACAGGACCGAATTTCTTGCCTTCTTTTGAACTCTCCCATTTCTCGAACTTTTCTTAGAACACAATGAAACTTCCAGAAAAGGTTCAATGAAAAATTCTCCTATTTGGCTTCAATTTACTGACGCTCAACAAACATTATTGTTCTAGTTTCATAATCAAACTTGTCTATCGAAGTATCTCTTGAACTACATATTTTCAGAGAAGTTCTATTGATTTCCCCTGAGAATTTTTTTCTATAAGGGAGAACGAAGAACGAATAAATTTTATCATGAAAATTTCACTACAGCCATCAGAAGCTACGGTTTTTGTTTTCTTTTCATTGTTGGTTTTCCTTTCACGATCATAATGAGAACTAGTCGATTAATGAATGTGAAGATTTGATGTTATCCGAAAATGTCTCTATTCATATGTGCATTTCTTTTTCTAATAATGCTAATAACTACTCCAATAATTACTCCAATTCATCATTGGTCTCGAACTTTGTGCAAAATGTCAGTTCGATCGATTGATTATTTCCTGAATATAGTTCTTTTTCGAAAAGTCGTTTTTCTTCGATATCTCAAAAACTTACATATAGTATACATTTTTTCTGCTGATTTATTCAGCTGTTAATATGTTTTTCATCCTTCTCTAGGTAATTCATATCGAAGGAAGTTTCCCAAAATCAGTCTCTGATCAATTTAATTCTGGAACCACTCCTTATGAATTGGTTTTACAGTCCAATACCATCGTGACTGATTTGGGTAAGATCAAACTTCCTTCAGTTGCTGAATTGAATGATTCTGTTCCGGTCGTTCCTTTGATCAATGTGGCGGAACATAAGAAAATTATTGGCAAGTTTCATTGCATGTTTTATGTTCACATTTTTTTTTCTTCATTCCTTCATTTCAATTCAAATTTTATTGTCTATCTTTTTCAGCTGTTCAAGGATTCGTGAAAACTCCTTGGGCTGTGATTAAAAAACAGAATAACAGCATTGACAATACTTGTTTCGGTTCAATCGCTGCTGATAAGTATTTCCTGGATGTCAAAATTTCTGATTATGCTCCTGACTTTATTTGTGAATTCACAAAGGGACAACATGTTCAGTGCTTGGGCTCTGTTATCAGAAATGGTCATTTATATTCCTTGCAATTCTATTTTTTTCTACTTTTATTTACATCTGTGATTGAATTATTATTTTTTTCAATACTTTTTTTCAGGAAACTGCTACTTTTTCTGCGTTCAGGCCCCTTCTTGCATAACTCTAGTTGATTCGCAAGTAACTACTCTCAAATATCTTCTTCTATGCAAGCCATTGATGACATTGCAGGAAGAGAGTAATACTGCTAGTGCCAATTCATCGAAAAAACTGAAGATAGCACAAAAGCATTAATGAACATTAAAAAAAAAAGTATTTCTCCCCTTCTATTTTTTTTTCTTCTTTTTTTTAATGTTGTTGATTATTTTCTTTTTTTGTTTTTAGGATTGAAATACCTCTCTCATCTCCCCTGGTTTAACTGATTGAGTCTACGATTGTTTCAACTGAATAATTAATTATTTATTAACTGCCAAAAACTCTAAAATGACGGAAAAAATCTTTTTTTGACCTTTTCATTCCTTTTTTTTATTCATCACACATAAAAACGAGTAAAAATCAATTTAAAAAAACAATTCGTCCGTTCATTTTTTTCACTCCAACTATCAATCACTTTTCAACTGAAAATCTATGCAATTCCATAAGAATTAATTAGTATCATGTTCAGAGACATTTTTTTTTCAACGTGTAACACAAATTTTGTGACGAGGCAGAATTTTGCACCCCCCCCCCCCCCAGGCCGCCGAGTTAATACTTATTATTTTTCCTAGGCTAAGTTAGGTTTAAGTTACTCTTTTTTGCCACCATTGGATAACCCATTCCCGAGAAACTCCTTCCCCCTACCCCATTTCCCCTCGCCGCGGTACTCACATCAACCGTGGAAAAGGACGACAACGATGAAGAAGAAAACCCCCTCGCAGACTGGCTAAAAGGAGAAAACCCCCCACGAAGAGACTGGAGACCACGTGACTCGGAAAGAAAGAGACATCCCTCAACTGACCCTCAAGGAATAACGAAGAAGAAAAGGACACTCGATGACGAGTCCCCCCAAGTAACCCCCATCATGACCGATAATCAGGGAAGAAGGTGTGAAGATAACTGGCAGTCATCACTTGTGATACAGCTGCCCCATGACCAGTAGTGTTTTTGGAAAAGAGATTGTTCGGAGGAGAATTTCATTGTGTTGGAGATTTAGACTAGCGTGGAGACCCAGGAGTGGAGAAGTCTGGAGAAGGAAGTAAAGAGGAAAAGTCCAGAAGTAAAGAGTTGAGGGTTCTCGGTCGAGTACTGGCCTCCAACATTGTGAGTACCCGTACATTTATCCCCTGCCCCAACGAAGTTCCCCTTTTTATAATCATTTCCCCCCAACGGTGAGCCTCTGAACAATCACTCTATCCATTATTATTTTCTTTTGTTGCTGTAATAATTACTCTCCGCGGACCCCCCCC